CGAGCTCGGGACAGGCAGGGACATAATGTCCTTCACAGCCTGCACCGCCTCCGGCGTCGACGGCATCTGTACCGGTGGGGATGCCTGGGTCAACGGTACCGGGCTGCTCCGCTCCACACGAGTCGGAGCCTTAGAGCCCGGAGGGGCTCAAGGGCTGCCCAGCGCGGGACCAGCCTCCCCCTTGTCCTTATCGCGGCGGCGTTGCGAGGCCGAGCCCTTCCCTTGCTTTTTGGAGGGAGAACGGTGCCGACTGGTCGAAGGGGCCTCGCTATGTACTGATGATGCGGCGGCCAGTTCCGAGTCCGATCTGCGCACCAGCGTCTGAGTCAGTGCCGACTCCATCAGGAGAGCTCAAAGTCTGAAGTCTCTCTCCTTCTTGGTTCTTGGCTTGAACGACCTACAGATCTTGCAACGGTCGCTTATGTGAGTCTCACCCAGGCAGTGAAGACAGTCAGCGTGAGGGTTGCTCCTGGGCATAGAGCGGCGACAGGAGGCGCACAACTTGAAGCCTGGGACACGGGGCATGCCCTGAGCCTGCTCTAACAACTGAAAATGTACAACGGTACCACTAAGGTCGAGAAGAAGGGCTACAGCAGAGCTGGAGCACAAAAGTTCCGACTACCTTCACTGGCGGCAAGAAGGAACTGAGAGTGGGGGGAGCCCGTAGCGCCCCTTATAGCGCGATATACAGGCACCACTCCAGGGGTCGCAGCGGTGCTCCCCCAGTGCAGGTACTGCTAAGGGAAAACTTCCGGCACCGGTGCACGTGGCGAGCACGCACACCTACTGTGGAATACACAGGAGTAATCACTTGAAGGGAATCACCGTTCCCCGTATCCTACCAACTCTTTGTAGCTTATGGGGATGAAACCTTAGATAGAGCATTTTCTACACAGAGACTCTTCAAATGGAACTAGCTCTGCTAGGATCAGACTGGAGTTCCAGTTCCTGAAGGTCTAAGGACATGTTCCACATGATGCATGGCTGCTTCTGCTGGCTTGGTCCGAGATGCATCTCTAGATGAGATCTGCCAGGCTGTGCAGGAGAAATCAATCCATAGAATCATAGACTATTAGGGTTGGAAGAGACTGCAGGAGGTCATCTAGTCCAACCACCTGCTCAAAGCAGAACCAACACCAACTAAATCATCCCAGCCAGGGCTTTGTCAAGCCAGGCCTTAAAATCCTGTAAGGATGAAGATTCCACCACCTCCCTAGGTTACCCATTCCAGTGCTTCACCACCCTCCTAGTGAAATAGTTTTCCCTAAAAGCCAGCCTAGACCTCCCCCACTGAAACTTGAGACCACTGCTCCTTGTTCTGTCATCTGCCACCACTGAGAACAGCCGAGCTCCATCCTCTTTGGAACACCCCCTTTCAGGTAGTTGAAGGCTGCTATCAAATCCCCCCTCACTCTTCTCTTCTACAGACTAAATATGCCCAGTTCCCTCAGCCTTTCCTCATAAATCATGTGCCCCAGCCCCCTAATCATTTTCATTGCCCTCTGCTGGACTCTCTCCAATTTGTCCACATCCTTTCTGTAGTGGGGGGCCCAAAACTGGATGCAATACTCCAGATGTGGCCTCACCTGTGCCGAACAGAGGGGCATAACCACTCCCTCAATCTGCTGGCAATGCTCCTACTAATGCAGTCCAATATGCCGTTAGCCTTCTTGGCAACAAGGGCACGCTGTTGGACTCATCCGGTTTCTTGTCCGCTGTAATCCCCAGGACCTTTTCTGCAGACCTGCTGCTTAGCCAGTCAGTCCCCAGCCTGTAGCAGTGCATGGGATTCTTCCATCCTAAGTGCAGGACTCTGCACTTGTCTTTGTTGAACCTCAGATTTCTTTTGGCCCAATCCATTTGTCTAGGTCACTTTGGACCCTATCCCTACCTTCCAGTGTATCTACCTCTCCCCCCAGCTTAGTGTCAGCCACAAACTTGCTGAGGTTGCAATCTATCCCATCATCCAGATCATTAATGAAGATGTTGAACAAAATTGGCCCCAGGACTGACCCCTGGGGCACTCCGCTTGATACCGGCTACCAGCTAGACATCGAGCTGTTGATCACTACCTGTTGAGCCTGACGATCTAGCCAGCTTTCTTTTTACCTTCTAGTCCATTCATCCAATCCATACTTCTTTAACTTGCTGGCAAGAATACTGTGGGAGACTGTATCAAAAGCTTTGCTAATGTCAAGGTATAATTTATACATTTATAAAGCACCACCTTCTCAATTCTAGGACTTGATCAGATGCCTGTTCGAAAGGGCAGTTAGTTCTACAGTCTTTACTCAAAATTACTCCTACGGCCTCCTGCTGGGGTGTAATACTACCTGCTAATCAATACTACCTTCTACCAACCGGGGAGATCTGCAGAGGTAGTTCATTAAGGAGAAATTTTAGTTACCTGTAAATGGACCTCTCTAACTGTACTATTACCTCTGCAGACTCATACTGATCCCTCTTCTTCAGAGTCCTTTATAGGACTGTAGTGGGGCAGCTGTCCCACTCCAGTAAAGAGGAGTTAAAAGCAGTCCTGGAGAGGGCTGCAGCTGGGAAAAGCTAGGCTGACTGGGGAAGCAGCCACAGCTGGGGCCACGCCCCAATCAGGCCACAGCTGGCCCTACAAAAGGGCTGTGAGCCAGAAGCTGGAGGACTCTCTCTCCAGTCTTGGAGGGAGAAGGACCGGGCTGCCTGGGAGCTCAGGGTACAGGGAACAGAGCAGGGCTGGGGAAAGGCAAGAGGAGCTGGGGAGCTCCAGCCTGGTAAATCCCCAGGCTGTGGGCCTTGCTAAAAGGGCCAAAACAGGTACTGGGGTTGCAGAGGCAGCAGCCCAGAGATAGGCAGAGGCAGCTGGTCCAACCTCCTTGTCAATGATGAGTGGCCATGACAGACTGCAGTTTGCCCCAGTGAGCGGGGGCTAGGTGATGACTGGCAGTAGCCACTGAGGCAAGGTCGGTGAGACGGTTGGGGGTTCCCCTGGGAGACCCAGAGTAGGGGTACTGCGGAGGGCAGAACCCCAGGGTAAGGGGCACCAGGAGGGACATGGGGGCCTGAGGCAAGTGAGACATTGGCCTGCAGAGGGCGCTCCGTGCTGGAATTGAGCTAGTTCCCAGGACAACCAGCAGGAGGTGCCGTGCTGGTGAGTCTTGCTTCGCTACACGGACACACTGAGGCAGAGAAGAACTGAGAATGGGTTAGGGAGCAGGACCATATAGCTTTGGTCAAGGAATACTGAGAGGCCAACTAGGCAGGGAAGCGACCAAGTGACTTTAATGCTAGCATCAATACCATGGTGCTCATTGTGTAAACCCAAGATTACTCATGAAAAATGAGTATGTCCAAATATAAGTAAAGAAAGATACTGCTGCAAAATGTCATAACCTACATAGAAAACTTCAGTCTTTAGGATTCTCCTAACTTGGAATCTGAGCCAACTGTGTGGAGCAGATATCTATTTGGTCAAAGGTTTCTTGGCACAACTTTTGAACCACCTGCCTAATCTAGACTCTGGCCTGGCCTAGCAACTCCACTTTGATGTCCATTTCACTGAATGCCTGTTTTGAGAAGGAAAACTGATGACCTCTCAGTTTGGGATTTGAGGCGTAACTCACAAAATGCAATACATGCCTCATTATTTAAAGCAGGCCTGACTGACCAGATATAAGGAAATCCGAAGACTCCAGGAACTGCCAGAGTTGCCGAGCTGCAACCTTCTCAATGACCCTTCCTAAAAAAGGCAGCTGTCCCATTGATCAATCATTAGCACGTAGTCATAATCAAAACTGGTTTCTTGAGCACAGACCTCTACCAACAATGGACCCAGTCCAGTTCCCCTCCACTCAGATTGGATCCCAGTTATTTTATCCTCAAAGTAACATGAAAATTCTCCACAGTGAGAAAAACATGACTGTTTTGCTGACTGGAGGTCACTAGCATTTATCAAGCTATCAACAGCTCAGAATAGTTCCACTGTCAGAGACTGAACAGCCCCTCTTTACCTCCTATATAATAATAGCATACAGTCTTAAAAATCGGTATGTCAGGATCAGTTTGACTCCACATCAGACTCCAACCCACAGCACTCTAGCCATCTCCCTTCTTGCTTCATCAATGAACCATGGTGATCACTGAGGACAAAACTGGGACAGAGAGCGTTAGAAGCCGCTGTACTGATAGTTGAGAACAAGAGATTATTATGAAGTCCTATGTCCTACTAAACTAGCGAGAGCATGGTCAGTTGGTAGAACAGTATTTGCCCACAAAGTTACCAGGAAACTCACTGTGTTCCATCAACCTTTAAGGTCGGACCACCAAAAGAGGTCCCACATCTAACCTACACTTTTAAGACAGGTGCACAACCTCACGGTAGGGTGGAAAAGGCGCGTCCTTGATACTAGTATATATTGCAATGTTTGAGCTGCAACTATGGCAGGATAATGTCCAAATTCTAATAATTTCCCTGGAATTATTTAAAAACTCATGAAAACATTTCTATTGCTCTAAACTTATGTAAAATCTTCATTTTACAAAACCTAAATCAACTTGACAATCTCTAACAACTGGCAACAATATTTATCGGTCTTTCCTTTTGGAGATACTTGTAATGTCTTCAAAAAGACAAATGGAAGGAGGAGATGGAAGAATGGGTGGGAAATGAAGAGGGGAAAAGAAGGGTAGTAGAGAGGATGCAGGATCATCTTTTATTGTAGCAGTACTGGAGAAGGGGATTCTGAAGCAATACAGACTGCCCGTTCTGACCTTGCATGTGTCAATATCCTGAATGCTCTACCAAGCTACACCTATAATAGAAAAGTGATAGAGGCTCCAAATTCTGGAAAGGTTTAGGTATGCTCGTGTGTGGACTGAGTTGCTTTTTGATACAAAATGACTAGATTCTTTGACCTGGGTAATGTAATGCTGACAACAGACTTCACAAGACAAAGGTGTACGAATATTTAGAAAAACAGTTATTAGAACAAAGGAATGTATTTTCCTACCTGTTCTCTGTCTCCAGTTCATTCTTCCGTAGATTTGCATCATCTAGCAGGCTCTGCAACAAGGCAATCTTTTCATTGTCGGAACCTTCTTGGTTAAGCTTCAGCATCTTGTTCTCATGCTGAAGACGAATGAGTTTCTCCCTGGAGAAACAAAATAAAAACTGCTATAAAAATCTTATAGATCGCTACAAGAAGCAAATCACAGGAAGTGTGAATATAATTTTCTCTTTACCAGTTTTAGAGATGATTAGAGATGAAGTAACAGTTACTTCACTTGAACCACCAAAATAGTAACATGTACTAGGATTACTGATTCTGTTTGGAACCTGAAGTTTTAGATGGAGATTAGGCCATTTTCAGAAAATAACTGCTTGGGATTTTATTCAGTATTCGTCAGCCTATATATAATCACTAATATATCTTAAAGACAAATATAATACACACAAAAGAAAGTTACTCACCCATAGCTGGCATTCCTTGAGTACCTTGTTACACAGATCCATGCTCATGGAACGTGTCTATATATTGCACCAACACCTGCATCAGTGGGGAATGAGTGGGCTTTGTCTTGTGCTATGAAATATTCCAGGCAAAGCTTTATAAAGAGATGTGCACCCCCATGTACCTTCATTTGCTTCTACTTCATTGGAATCCAACAGACTCAAAAGAAGTGGGGATGGAAAATGGGGATGTGGATCTGTACTCAATCTACTGAGGTATAGTTGAACAACTTGCCTTTTTCTTCCTTTCTTTTTCTTTTTTTGCACGGTTAGTACATATACCCACACTTGGAAGACTGACAAGTGGTAAACCCAAGAGAACTGATTTGAGGAGAAGACTAAATGACAACAGGACTCCCGTCTCAAACTGGATTTTGAGAATAATGAGGTGAATACAGCTGTGTAAAAGGTACAGGCTGAGCTCCAGATAGAAGTGCCAATGAGTCTTTATCAGGGACAAGAATATCCATGATTCTACCTTTCAAAACAGGTTTTAACCCATTTTGACAAAGGAAATTGCTTCTTGTTTAACCCACAAATAGTCTGGGGGATTTAAGGATGTATTTTGTACTGTTAAGATAGTGAACAAGGGTCATCTTAGGATCTAAAGTATGCAGCATACCCTTCCTTGGCAGTGAACATTGCTTGGTGAAAAAGTCAGGCAAATTTGGTGACCTCATTCAGATGAAAATCAGTGGCCACTTTAGGGATAAATGTGGGGCAAAGATGCTGCTCCACAACCTCCTTTCAAAACACAAAAGAGTGAACGGGTCAGCCACTGAAACCTGGAGCTCACCATTTCTGCTGGACGATATAAGGGGCACAAGAAGCGTAGGGGTCAATCATAAGACCCATTCTGGAATGTAAATGGGTCAGAAAGCTGATGGCCCTGCCCAGCTAGGGATGCCCCTTGTGAAGAACAAGTCAGGGACGGTGTAGGCACATTAGCTTCTACACTACCCCCTGGAGACTCCCAATGGCAAAGGGGGGATACACCAGAGAAGGAGTGTGTACTCTGGCAACACATGGCTGGAAGTTGAGGACTGCCCTTGCATTCGGTCAGTCCTGGATTTCTGATTGCTAAAATAAGATTACTTTTTACAACAGTCCAATGAAAGAAAGAGCTGAGAGGAGCTATGGTATCTAAAAGGCGGTGTTTCTCCTGGAAGTTCATTGTTAAAGGAACAGTTTACCTAGAATCCCTTCCTTCTTCTAACAACCTACCTCAGTAGCTGATGGCTCTTTGCTGTCAATCCCTGCTGGAACCACTATCCCTACATCTAACAGAGGAGGAGTGGTTCTCTAGGGAGTGATGGTGCTGCTTTTTCTCATGATCTCGCAATACCAAAGAAGAAACTTTCAGTACCAAATCTGAAGTCACTCTTCAAAACATTCCAGTCCCTCGCAGAGTTGAACTTTGATTTGCCTCAAGGATAGGGCTTGAAAGAAAGGCCCAGAGATGGCTCAGACTCTGCTCTGGAAGCTATATCTTTTTCCATCAGCATCAACCAGAGTAGAGACCCAGGTAGTTATGTGCCCAAGTAATAAACTGCAAGCACCCCTCACTAAAGCACTGAGGATCAAGGTCTGTTATTATGTGTCTATACAGCCCACGACAGTGAGTCTCCCAGCCTGGGTCGACAGATTTGGGCTTGCGCTCCCACGCTAAAAGTAGTTGCGTAGACATTGCAGCTTGGGCTGTAGGTTGGGCTCTGAAGCCTAGGGATGGGGGTGGGCATCAGAGCCCAAGCTCCAGCCTGAGCTGCATTTTCAAAGCATTGTCTACACAACTATTGTTAGTATGGCACCATGAGGCCAAGTCTGTCAATCCGGGCTGGGAGGCTTGCTGGCACGGGGCTGTGTAGACATACCATTACAGATTTCCTGCCTCTACAGCAAGGTTAGGTCTTAAAGCTCATCTTTCTTCCTGGCTCTGCCACCATGGCAGAATGACTGTCACACTCAGGATAGGAGAGATTACTATAAAACTGAAACAACTTAATTCCTAAATACTTGTAAACAGAAAAACTAACTCTACCTATTACTATGCTTAGTTGACTGTTTACAATAAAAACTAATTCTTGACCAAGGAGAAATAACAAAGGAAAATGACCAAAGGACTGAAAGTCAAGGATTTCTAATTTGCTGCCTTGGAGACTGGAAGGAACAGAAGGCATGGCTCCTTCTAAAGCCCCACCTCAAACTTTTCATAGCTCAAGGTGAAGTCTGCACGGCCCCCAAAGAACAAAGCTTTCCAGAGGGTTCTGGGAATAGTATGGAACATGCAGGTACATCACAAGAGTGTGTATCGCTGACAATATTAGAAGGGAAAGCTCTTTTAAAAAACTTAGCTTGGAACTGACAGCATGGTTTTATCAAAGGGTACGTCTACACTACCTACTGGATTGGTGGGTAGTGATCGATCTATCGGGGATCGATTTATCGCGTCTAGTGTAGACGCGATAAATCGATCCCTGATCGCTCTGCCCTCGACTCCTGTATTCCACCGTGGCAAGAGGCGGAAGCAGAGTCGACGGGGGGGCAGTGGCAGTCGCCCCTGCGCCATGAGGATGCGAGATAAGTCAACCTAAGGTACATCAACTTCAGCTACGCTATTCTCGTAGCTGAAGTTGCGTATCTTAGGTCGATCCCCCCCCCCCCCCCAAGTGTAGACCAGGCCAAAGTTATAGTTGATGAACTCTTACTGTAGCATAATAATGTGCAGACTGTGTAATATACTGATTAGAGTGTATGCTTACCCTTGCCTACCACTGCTAAATGGCACTTTCCCCAAGACCTTTTCTGTCTGGTTTTAAAACATGGTAGCTGCCTATTTACCATAGGAAGTCTATACCAAAGGTATTTTGTACTGCTTTTCCAAAGCCTCTATATGAAAATCTCCTTTTTATTCAGAGTTCTGAATCAATAAAGAAATAAGTGATTCAGAACTGAGGGCACTTAAGGGCCTAGCCCTGCAACTGCTTGCTTGAAAAGCACTTATTGTTGCGTGTAGTTTCCTACACATCACAAGCACTATTTACCATAGTAAGCATTATACCTGGCAGTAAGCATCTGCAGAATTAGAGTCCAGGGGTGTGAACAGGAATGCACACCAAAATGCTGTGCTGTAACTGCCCCCATGTGAATGCTTTGAGTACAAACTAAATGACTCCTACTTTGCGTTAATGTAGTCCTCTTCAAACAGGACTACTTGAATGTACAATAAGAGTATAGCAGTAGGAATATACTACCAACCACCTGACCAGGGTGGTGAAGGTGACTGTAAAATGCTCAGGGAGATTAGAGAACCTGCAAAGGCAGAAAATCCCTTCCAGATGGCAATGAAGGACCTGTATACTTATCATAGTGCAACATTACAGGGCAAATTAGATGAGAGAGGAGGGGCACTTTTACCTGGAAGCCCATTTTTGACATTGTTATTAATTATTAAATCATGTTTATTATGGTAATGACTGAGGGCCAACCAAGAATTCGGATACAACAAATTCTGCTTTAGACACAACAAATCCTGCATCTTGGCAGAGGGTTAGACTAAATGACTCTTGTGGTCCCTTGTAACCCGATGATTCTGATTTTATAATGGGGCCCCATTGTGCTAAGCGCTGTCCATCCCTGAAAGAGCTTGCAATCTACTGGTTTCTTATGAATGTAGTCAACATTCATTCAACTACCCCAACCTGCCTTTAAAGGTGACCTGCAACGGATTTTTTAAAAAAGGACTTATATGCCCCCGTTTGCCTCATCATGACATATAAAGAAGGCCTGAAATGTTTTTTTGTTTTTTATTTTAAAAAGAGGTTCTCCTCCTGCCCTCCGCTTGTTTGTATACCTTAGAAAGTGACAGGAATGTCAACTCTGCTCTTCCTGCATTTTCCTGGAGGATTTGCAGGAGGATCTCACAGGGAGTATATTGTTCTGACATCTTAACTGAAGGGGTGAAGGTGCTGAATCTTTAAGATATTCTTCTCTAAAATCTTAAAGATGGTGTTTTAAAAAAACGCTTAACAGTATGACTGAAAATTCCTTCCTCACTCAATGGCTCAACTTTCACCCTTCTTGTCTCTTGTGATGTACTATTACACTAGCTTTCCTGGCACCAAAAGCCTCATCTAGACTAGGAAACTTGTTTTTTAAATATTGGCTAATATGATTTTATGCATCACTACGCCATAGTCTACATGAGGTGGTAGGTGATGTTTAAAGTCATTTTAACTAACATGCTTAAAAAAATGTTCTTTTTTCCTAGTCTAGACAAGACTAGTGTCTTTCAAGCTAGAAGGTATCTGATTTTCAAGTTTAACATTAAATAAAAACCTGTTTCCTCCAGGGAAAAACTACTTTCAGACCTTCTCTATTAATAATAAAGAATCAAGCTCGCACAGGTCACAATGAAGGAATGTTCCCTGTGGTATCCAGATTAGTTATAAATGTTGAAGGCTGTGTGGCCCAGTGGATAGGGCATTGGAACGGGAGTCAGGAGACCTAGGTTCTATTCTCAGCTGTCACTGAGCTGCTGGGTATCCTTGGGCAAGGCATTTCACCACTCTGTGCATGTTTCCCCTCCCACCCTTTGCCTAGGTACAACAGGGCCCAGAGCTCCATTGAGAATGCTGAGGTTTGTTTTCTCTCCTTTGTAGGTCACCTTTAAGGCTCTTGTGATAAATGCCTCTTTGAAAACACTGCTTCAGAAAGCATTAATCCCTTCTTCACTGCTCTTTAACTAACCCGGAACCAACTCATGTCACAGCAATCTACAGTAAAATAGACAGAAGGAATCCTTTTTTGTTAGTAGCCATCCAGCAAGTACCACCTTCACCACTCCAGAGAAGAGTTCTTAAGCTCATATGCATCTGCCCAATCACTGAAAACAGATGTACTGACATCTCAAGAGGAAAGAGTAATTCCAAAGGAGTTACAATGTATTTCTTAGAGATGGGGGTCCCCTAATTACTCCAGTTTCAAGCTGTAGTGATACTAGACTATCTGGACAATATTAAATACACCCTAGATGGTCTTAAACCATAATGATTTTCAATTCTGACTTTATTCTCCTGATTCTCCCTGTTTTCTGATAATTGCATGTCTTCCTCACTTGATAATACAAATGATTTTTAAATCCAGTTTCTAGTTTGATATTTTAATTGTTTTCTCTTCAACAACATGAAGTCCCATGTTGTTGAAGAGAACATTGCTACAAATCTTTTTCTTTTTTAACATGCCTAAAAATAGTCATAATATGAACTCTTTTTAAAAACAAAACAAAACAGTATGATATAGGCTGAGGGCAGGTCAAATAAACTTAATTGCAAGTGTAAGAGGAATGGCTTTGTAGAAATCCAAAGGAGGAGAAAAGAACTAGTGTGAATCTTAGTGATCAACTTAAAAACTCTGAAAAAGAACTAATTGTGCGTATAGACATCCTAAGCTCTATGGAGACAATAAGCATGATTTCACTTACTTGATTTCAGGAGTAACAATTTCTGCTGCTAGACTGTCTGAAGACTCCTGGCTTCCCAGTGGCATCAATCCTGTTTCAGACATAAACAAAGAAAAGGATTAACAGAAAGTACAATAATTTTTTATTTCAGAAGGCTATGGATAAATATTGTTCAACAGGATTAAATTTTAAGAGAATATTAAAAACAGTATGCTCCTTGTGAATATGTGAGAAATAATACAGAGTCATGCTATAATAGGAAGGAAAGATGAACATAACTCCATTTTTGAACAGGTTTTCTGTTCCCATTTTCCTCCATTTTAGACAAAGGGGTTTTTTTTTTTTTTTTTAAATAAGTTATGGTTTATTCCTTGGTTTATGTAAAAATATACATATTTGCATGATGTGATATATGGAATATAAATCATTGCATATGTACCATATGCACAACATAAGTTTAGGAAAACTATGTTACGACATTAATGCTAATTTTTTGGAGATAAGTGAGTTGGTTTCTTACTGCCATTACTTAGAAATCAAACTCTTAAAACTTTTTTAAAATATTACATTTCAGGAGAGACCAAGCATGGAAAATTTCAGCCAAAGGTTCGAAGTTCTGAACATCTAAAAATGTGATTATAGCAGAAGTTGTTTTGCAATCTCAAGCTAGTGGATGTTACATTGGTCAACAAACAACGGTAAACCTGTCTACCCTGCACCTATGAAGCCTCTGTGGACGTTCTTTAGAAAAAGGTAACTTCGGTTTCTCTTTCTCCATTACCTGAAGTGGTGAGCTGCCCTTCTTGTGCTTGTACACATCGAAGCTCTTCGATAGTTTCTTTTAGGGAATCTCTTTCCGTTCTTAACCTCTGAGTGATTGGAAGGACAATAAATATTAATCTCAGCTCTACAAATCCATCTTTAACTCTAGGCAAGTTGCCACTATGCACATCATTGTCAGCACTTTATCAAAGAGGATTAATGTGCACTGCTAGAAATGCCTTTCATAGCAAGGAATCCCAATTCATTCCTCGGGCAGAACTTTTTTTTTTTTTTTTTTTTAAAAAGGAGCCACTACTCACCAATAACAGTGGTTCTTTGAGAGTCCTGTGTCTGAATATCTACACTTGTGGGGTCAAGACACCTGCACCATGAACTTTCAGAAATTTAAGGAGAGCAGTATCCCCATCAGGGCCACTCACACTGTCCTTCCTCTCCTCTTGTGCAGGGTTCCTAGCTATCCAATGGAAGTGGGCCAACAGACTTTCAGTTCCTTCCCCTAATATGGGAATTCTTAACCCCGCTCAGAAGTAGTCAGGAAGGCAGGTGGGGAATGGGATATGCAGAAGCAAAACACTTGAGGAACTATGGTTACTGGTAAGTAACTTCTCTTTCTTCTTCAAGGGCCTCTGCATACGTCCAGTGGTGGAAGATTAGTGAGCAGCATAACCCCTAAGAAAATCAATGGCCTTGACCTTTAGTTGAGCATTCGGTTGAGACTGGGACATGGATGAAAACTAGCTGCTTGTGGCTCAATCCAGGCAAGATTGAGGTAATGTTGGTTGGAAAATAAAATCATAAAACATGGCAAGGATAATATCTGTCCCTCTGAGTGTTTCTCATCTGTTAGTCTCCTGAATGTTGCAAATATTAACATTTAGATTCCCAGCTTCTTGATCAGGGAGCAGCAACTCCCAAGATGACATTTTATTTAACAGTGGCTTAGAACTGATCAGTCACCAAACATGTTTTTAAAAATTATTAAGCTCTGTCTCTTCCAGGTGATAGGTGGTATTTAAAAACATTAGACTTAATTGTGTCAGCGAACATATTTTAAAAACACTAATCAATTTTTTGTCAAGACACTGCACAAGATCCTCCAGCCTAATGCTTTTTCTCATTGGCCAGTGTTTACCTAACAGCTCAGGTTTGTATGAGTTTAAAAATACTCATGTCCTTCTCAGGAACTGGATATAGATTGTCTGCACCTCCATGTGGGAAGAAATTAAAGTTGGGGTTATTGAGGCCCTCTCAAATGCCAGGCCCAAATGGTCAATTAGATCACAGGAAGGTTCAGTACAAAGGATGGGAGCTATTCGGTGTCTCTGGCATCAACAGGTCTCTCTACAACCAGAAATGGCATTGATGGTACTGGCTATCCCAGACTCCAGGACCATGGGAACTGTGGACTCTTTGACACTGACAGCCCTGGATAGCTGCCCACTCCATACCAGAGTTACATGACAACTAGATCTGCAGGTGGAGTAGAGGATGGTCTACGGTAAAAATCCAAGTGCAGTCTGCCTCAGAAGAACTAGGATGTGAGTTAAGTGACCAAGAACTCCAGTACAGTCTTCAACCTCCATCCAGGTACAAAGCTAACGTTGGTGAGCAACTCTTCACAGCTGATCTTCATGAATGCTCTCCACCATGCCTGATCGACCCAAGTGCATCTGGGGGTCTCGGGCGCTTTGGCAAGCAGTTCTCTGCTGCACCTTTGGTGGTCAGAAGCTATGGAAGGGCAGTTAAGGCGTCTTCTCTTTTTCTGCCCTCTGAGCCCTGGATGACAGGAGGGGTGAGTGGACCCAATTGAGACTGCCCTCTAGAAGATTCCAAAAGTTAGCAGCACATGCACTTTGATCCCACAAATGGGACTATGTAGAGGCTACATTGAAGATTTTTTACTTTAAAAGAAAACTTCTGAGTTAACTCCAGAGGAATATTCTGAATGTTTCAAACCCAGTTTAAAATTAAATACACTTTACAATTACATTTGAGATTTCTGAGTCTTCCCCTGCTGGATGCTCAAAGCAAAAACTTGTTACACTGTTCACATGAGGAATCTATGTAGGAGGTTAGATAAACACAGCATGGGGAGGGACAGGAGAAAAGGATATTGAGAAGAAAAGACAAAAATGTGTCTGCTTGGCTCTTCATTTTTAAAATCTTCTGCACACATTTTCGTAGTTACCTTGAAACCAGATGATTGGTTTATCAAACTCCATAGTTATTACATGTAAATAATATTTTATCCAGACAACAGACAATTGGAAGTGAACTAAGAAATATAACAGGTAATTTTGATTGGCAGGTCCAGGGTAATAAGGATACAAATTTGTTTCCACCACCACAAAAAAAAGCAACATCTAAACACTTACATCTTTTTCTTTTTGGAGGCTGTCTACTTTTTCTTTCAGCAGTTTGTATTCAAATTCTAATTTATCTGCTTTCTTTGATTCTTCAGATAATCTGTTTTGTAGTTCAACTACCTGTGAGACAAAGAAGGAATTGTTTGTCAGTGTTAAACATAATACGCATGAAATAAAGTTACTAATTACACTGCAATGTGAGATCAGTGTTATAACAAATGGAATATTCATCTCTAGCACATGCAAAATGGTTTGTTCACCTATCTATTGTTTCAATCATTAATATCATTGAAGGGATCAGAATAGTACCACTTCAATGCAAGTAAAATCTGAGACCACAAAGCTGTGAAGAAGATACAAACTGTTCTCAGATTGCCGAACTATCCAGCTAATTATACTTGAAATTTAAATTTGAGTAAAATCTCTAGATAACCAATGAATCACCATAACTATACAATTGAATGGATCAGAGAGATGAGGAAATTGATAATCGCCCTTCTCCTTCCTCAAAAGTGTGGGGAAATAAATCAGTTAAAAAAAAAAAATCAGATGCATTCTCCTATTTTTCCTCTCTCTGTTTTCCAAGTCCCACTTTGAGAAGTCAAGCCCAATCTTATGTGAACAGGGAACTTTTTGCTCATTTGTAAATTTGTTTTCTTGTGGTTTTTGAATCCACTAATCTGGAGCTTCACCTCCAAGGAATGATGGCCAAATCCCCAAATCCAAAGGAACAGAGGCACTTTTGATTATTTAACAAGAGGAAGTAATGAGCTATCAAGGTCCAGTCAAAGTTCCCATGGATACTATCATGTAGAAGATCAATGAACATCTATTTACAACTAGAAGAGGAGAAAACTGAATAAAGCTTTCAGAGTGGGCACGCAAGTCATGAAAAACAAATCAGCAAAAAGTTGACCATTCAAAGCTTTGTACCTCTATTAACAAAGGTTCAGTTCTAGGAATGGAATTAGTAGCATGTAACAGAAAGAGCTTGGATAGAACTGCACTGAAGAAAGATCAGCATGCAAATTCTATAGCTGAATGGAAACTCTGATGAAGATACATCCACTTGAAGCTTCTTGTGAAGCAATTTATAAGGAACCAATGTCTGCTTTGTTTTAGAGTTAGAGAAAGAGATATGTGTGTAAATAAAAATATGTTTTAAATAGGTTTGTTGATTAATCGCAGTTAGCTCACGCGATTACCTCAAATAAAGTAATTGCGATTACTTGCAGTTTTAATCGTATTGTTGAACAATAGAATACCAATTGAAATTTATTAAATATTTTGAATGTTTTTCTACATTTTCAAATTTATTGATTTCAATTACAACACAGAATACGAAGTGTACAGTGCTCACTTTATATTATTTTGATTATAAATATTTGCACTGTAAAAATAATAAAATTGTATTTTTCAATTCACCTCATACGAGTACTGTAGTGTAATCTCTTTATCGTGAAAGTGCAACTTACAAATGTAGATTTGTGTGCGTTACATAACTGCACTCAAAAACAAAACAATGCAAAATTTTAGAGCCTACAAGTCCACCCAATCCTACTTCTTACTAAGACAAGCAAGTTTGTTTACATTTGTGGGAAATAATGCTGCCCACTTTTTATTTACAATGTCACCTGAAAGTGAGAACAGGCGTTTGCATGGCACTGTTGTAGCCAGCATCACAAAGTATTTACGTGTCAGGTATGATAACCATTCATATGCCCCTTCATGCTTCGACCACCGTTCCAGAAGACATGCTTCCATACTGATCATGCTTGTTAAAAAAATAATGCGTCATTTAAATTTGTGACTGAACTCCTGGGAGGAGAATTGTATGTCTCTTGCTCTGTTTTACCTGCATTCTGCCATATATTTCATGTTATAGGAGTCTCGGATGATGACCCAGCACATGTTGGTTTTAAGAACACTTTCATTGCAGATCTGACAAAACACAAAGAAGGTACCAATGCGAGATTTCTAAAGATAGCTAGAGCACTTGATCCAAGGTTTAAGAATCTGAAGTGCCTTCCAAAATCTGAGAGGAACGAGGTGTGGAGCAGGCTTTCAGAGGTCTTAAAAGAGCAACACTCTGATGTGGAAACTACAGAACCCGAACTACCAAAAAAGAAAAATCAACCTCCTGCCGGTGGCATCTGACTCAGATGATGAAAATGAACATGTGTCGATCCGCACTGCTTTGGACCGTTATCGAGCAGAACCCATCATCAGCATGGACACTTGTCCTTTGGAATGGTGATCGAAGCATAAAGGGACATATGAATCTTTAGCGCATCTGGCATGTAAATATCTTGTGCCATGCAAACTGACATTTGTCAGGTGACATTGTAAACAAGAAGCGGGCAGCATTATCTCCTACAAATGTAAACAAACTTGTCTGTCCGAGCAATTGGCTGAACAAGAAGTAGGACTGAGTGAACTTGTAGGCGCTGAAGTTTTACATTGTTTTATTTTTTTAATGCAGTTTTATTTTGTACATAAGCTTGTACTTAATTTTACATTTGTAAGTTCAACTTTCATGATAAAGTGATTGTACTACAGTACTTGTATTAGGTGAATTGAAATACTATTTTTGTTTTTTACAGTGCAAATATCTGTAATCAAAAATAAATATAAAGTGAGCAATGTACACTTTGTATACTCTGTTGTAACTGAAATCAATATATTTGAAAATGTAGAAAACATCCAAAAATATTTAAATAAATGGTATTCTATTAACAACAGCACAATTAATGGCGATTAATTTTTTTAATCACTCGACAGCCCTAGTTTTAAAATTCTAGTGTGAACAGTAGTAATGCCTAAAGTTAAGGTTGCCTAACGCTTCCTATGTAATCTTTTGTTTCCAATTGTTTGTATCTTTGGCATAAAGAATGAAGTACCCCTTGTGGTCAGTTGGCTTGTTTGTGTGTGTTCTTTCCGTGTGCTGTCCAGCTTGGCACAGACAGCTGGTTCAGCCAATCTCAACAGTACTACCCAGTGTGGTTAAGTGTTGAAGGCTGGAATGTTGTGCCTCAGTAATGCTGTCGAGGCTGCTCAGTGCTTCTGTCCTTGGAGCTCCAAATGTTATCACTACTAGCAGCAGATAAGGCAACCTGCTCATTCAACATACATTGATGTTACTCAAAGAAAAATCACAGGCACGTTTCGGTGGCAAAGGTCTTTGGCCAGGTTTATTGTCAATGAAGCACGGTACTGGCTCCCTGGATCAATATCTACAGTTACATTAAAACATGTTTGCTCATTACAATGGACTCAGTTCAGTCAGTGGTCGGACTTGCCACTGCCCCCTAGGCTGGAAAAAGAGTTAAGGCGAAGTATCCTAACATTTATAGATGAGACAAACAACAGTCTATAAGGAACCTAAGTACCACCATGCTTATTTCCTGACCTTATTTCCTAACACGGTTGCTACTCTGATTCCTGACCTCTGTTTGTTACCTCTCCTTGTTCCTAATATCTTGGATGAAACATCCCTATTCATTATTTTGTCAAACCATCTTGTCTTGTACTAGATTGGGATGTATCTGTACAAGCTAGAATATATTTACGTAAATATCTAGTGCCCAGTACACTAGCAGCAACTTTGCCAAGTTCATCTACTGGACAGTGAACTCATAAGCATCTGCTTTAATATATGGCCTGACTATGGTTCACAGCCTCTGGTTCAGGCCTCAGCCCAGACCCAGTGCTCCAGGCTCTCTCTCTCTCTCGTTACTACACCCCTTTCCGTTGCCCAAGGCTCATCCCAGGTTAATGGGGGAACAGGTATGATCAGGTGCAGACACCAGTGCCAATGTGCATGACGTCCTGGCAAATCAATATACAGTAGAAGCACAAGCTGCCTCGGGGAGGTATGCACCTTCCTTCCATCCATCTTGAAATAAAGTACTTCACTTCACCTCTGGTAAACTGGAGAATGTACATGCTCTTCATTTCAGAGGGTGCTCGTAACAAGAGGGGTACTTACCCCTTCCATGGCATATAGGATGAGAAATATATATCCTCTCAACTCGAGGTAAACCTGACAGGGCTGGCCCTTAGGGGAAGTGAAAAACATCCCCAAGAGTCCAAACCAGGCAGACGCAGAGCAAACACTGCACTGGGGCTGAGAACAACCTCTCACAAGCTAATGGGAGACTACCTATCACAGACTGAATTTGCCAAAGTGTAAACCAGCTCAACGGGATGATCAGAGACTAATAGCTGGAAAAGGGTCACCAAGCAGGGGAAGAATCTCAACAAATCTCCTCTTACCTTCTCTCTTCTTCCTTGAAGGAGAAGGAACAAAGACGGAAAATGCAGACAGTGCAGAGAGCTGACCTGCTTGCTCCATGGAGCAACAGGACACTGAAGACTGAGGGGAAAAGAGGTGGAGCCTGTGCAGAGCACGAACTGGTGCAACTGCTACTGGAATACTGTGTCCAGCTCTGGTGGTGTTGAACAACTGGAGGTTTCAGAAAGCCATGAGAAGGATTAAAGGATTGGGAAACATGCCTTATAGTGAGAGATTGAGCTCCTTTAATCTATTTACCTTATCAAGGATAAGGTTAAAGAGTGACTTGACCACAGTCTATAAATACCTACATGGGGGATAGAAATGTAATATGGGCTATTCAATCTAGTGGACAAAAGTATAACAAGATTTAATAGCTGGAAGCTGAAAGACAAATTCAGACTAGAAATAACGTGCACATTTTAAAGTGAGAATAATTAACCATTGGACCAACTTACCGAGGGTTATGATGGATTCTCCAACACTGGAAATTTTTTAACCAAGACTAGATATTTATTCTAAAAAATTTGCTCTAGTTTAACCTCAGCTATTGGACTTGAAGCAGGAATTAATTCAAGTAAGTTCTATGCTTTGCATTATGCAGGCGGTCAGACTAGAAGATCACAGTGGTCCCTTCTGACCTTAAAAATCGGTAATTTTATACATTTTGTCTATCCACGAGAGACAGATCTTGTTGACTTTTTTCCTACTTGGTAGGTGGAGTTACACCAGCTCTATATGAGCTATACGAGCTAGGGGGAGAGGGATATTTACAATAAAGTAGATCCTTTACATAGAACATGAATGAGCTCTTTAATGAACTCATGAATGAGTTCTGGAGGTATTACCCAAATTAATAACAATTATTATTATTATTATTATTATTAACAGAAAAGGCTAAGAAATCAACAAATCAATTGCAATCACTATTTCTGTTCTCACCTGTCTCTTGTATGTTTCCAGCTGGCTACGCGCTGCATTGGCTTTCCTTAGTTCTTCCTCCAAGCTTACAGTGTTTTGCATATACATAGTGTTCTTCTCCTCTAAGAGTTTCACTTGCCGCCGCAGATCACCAAGATCTTCCAGCTTCTTTTTGTATGACTCTACCTGGCTTTCTAACTTAGCCACTTTATCAGAGGAATGCCTGGATGAGAACCGAGAAGGAGAAGCTGCATCAAATCTGTTCAGATTGTAAACTTTGGGGCATGGACCATCTTTTTGATCTTTGTTTGTACAGTGCCTGGTCCATGGCTAGGACTCCTAATACAATACTGTAGCACTACAGTAATACAAATAATAGTCAGAATGCTAACATAATAAGTGCTCTGAAGTCTCCTCAGTATTAAACGCAATACAGAAATGGTTCCCAAAAATCAGGAGGAGCGTAAGAAAGCAAACAACTTATCCTCACTGCTATGTTTCTTGGCTTTCTCTTTGCCAGCCTCGCTGCTTCTCCCCTCACCAACCTATCCAAAATGCTGTAGTTTCCAACGATATCACTCTTCCTGCTTGAATTCATTTATTGTATCCTTGTCTGTTTCCACATCAAGTTCTATTTTCATGCCATCCTCTCTCTCAGGCAATCTCCATCTCAGACTCCTAATCCATCCTCAAAACTCACTTCTTTCAGGCAGCTTTTCAATACTATCCCTACACCTGCTCTTGTTTTCATGCCTACCAACAGATTAATTTGTTTTTAAAACAAACAAATAAATTTGAACTACTTGAGCATCTTTACTGTCAGTGAAGGAAAACAGAGTGGAACACAAAGAGCTGTTATACCCATTTACCGGGCAGCTTGTGCCCTCTCCGCACAATAGCAGTTCAGTAGATTAGATTAAGAATTTTAGGAACATGGATGCAGGAGGGGGCTCAGTTTATAATACTCACATTTGAATAAACAGCTCTCACTGCTGAATACCACAATTTAGAAACATGACCAAAGAGATTTTTACCAAAATTTTCAAAGAAATTCACCATTTGGTTAAGAACAACCAAAAGACATTTCAGCCCAAAGGATAATTTTTAACAAAAAGTTGTAAATGCCTTAAAACAGGGGCTTATAATGAAGAAGGGCCACTGCAACCATAACACGGATAGTGTTGCAATACCACTCATACAGTGCTTAATGATGTGAGATCAGGTTGCTTGACTGGTAGAAAATTCGCAACCTCATAATTTTGATGGTAACTGGATGCACTTTGGTGCTTGTTGATAAACTACTTTAATGTATGCAAAATTCTGAAACTATATGAATGCTAATGGAGATGAATTGATAGAACAAACTTTGTTTTAGGAATAAAAAGAAACATACACCCTAGTGGTTAGAGTAATATAGTTTACCTAAGTACATCCATCTCATCCTTCAAAGACTGAGCTTCTTCTGCTAAAGTGGTTAGCTCTTCATTCTGCTGTCGCAATTCTGCAATTTCTTTTTCCAGCTCTTCACAACGTATTCGATAATCATCTTTGGCTGCCTCTAGCCTACAGAATTGAAATAAAACAGTAGGAAAGAAAGGGTATGTTCTAACCACAGGCCAATGTTACTTTCTTCCTTCATAGCAACTTTTTGGGACACTAGAAAAAAAAAAAAAGCCAATGAACATCATCATGTTGCCAGTTTCTCTTACATTTTCAAGGAGGTGGAGGGAGCTCCAGCTTTATGGGTATACATGCTTCCAAGTCAATGTCATCAACAACTCTGCTTGCAGTGCAACAAGGAGATGTATACTTCCCATCATCGTTGTATTTGAAAGAAAGAGAAATCCTAAGGCTTTCACTGTGCTACTGAAAATCTTTGCTAAAACACTCCTCTCAGAATGCCTGGGGCACAAACATATAATCTTTTCTGGTGCACAAAAAGGATTACCTTTACTCTTTTTTTTAACCCCAGCGTAAGCAGGATTATGTACAATGGTCAACATTTTCCAAATGCAGGTACCTTAAACAACATACTCTATCCATATTTGGGCAGCTAGATAATTGGCCGTTTTTTAATGGAAGCTGTGGATGTTCAGCACCTCCGAGAGATCCCATTTTGGCCAACATAAAAAACGTGCTGAACAAATAACAGAGCTTCTGCCCTAAGAAATTATACCATAAATGCGTAAGAGAATATAATAGGATACAACAGAAGTGGGGTGTGCTCTTTAATAGATGGAACACAATGTAAAATATGGTAGTTCAGGTTTTTGAAGGAGAGAGGTTGCATGGTGTAGGATAAATATAAAATTAAAGAATTAGAGTTAGCTTAAGTTTGGTTAAGAAAAATGTGCTGTAAAGAAAGGCCCAGACTAGGAAGTAGAAGGAAGGTCTTGAAAATAAATTATAAGGTCAGAAGGAATAAAGCAGAGAGGATGTCTGGTTCAAAGAATAACTAATGAGATAAAAGGAAGTTTCTAAAAAGAAGACCTCTGGCCAATAGGGGTGACTGCATATGGTTTTAAATAAAACAAAGAGAGTCTGTCTTAAAATGAGACAACAAGGCCCTTCCCCAACCCACACACCAGCGGTAAAGCCCGTGTGAACCCAAGTGCAATGGGCAAACTGTTGGACAGCAGTTAGGGGAGGAAAGGGCTTGGGAAGAAAGGAGGTTGTAAATCTTATCTGGATTAAGACTGGAAGTAAGGGTGAACTGTCTCAAATTGGTTACCTGAAGTCAGTAACTGGCAGTGATATCACTTGATTGTTAAAGGGTATAAAAAGTAAACTCTTAGGGCTGGTCTACACCCAGCCGCTAGTTCGGCGGCTGGGGATCGAAGTTCTGGGTTCGACTTATCGCGTCTGGTCTGGACGCGATAAGTCGAACCAGGAAGTGCTCGCCGTCGACTGCGGTACTCCAGCTCGGCGAGAGGAGTACCGCGGAGTCGACGGGGAGCCTGCCTGCCGCGTGTGGACCGCGTCTGAACCGCGATAAGTTCGAACTAAGGTATGTCGACTTCAGCTACATTATTCACGTAACTGAAGTTGCGTACCTTACTTCGACTTGGGGGGTTAGTGTAGACCAGGCCTTACAGGATTCATTGCTTATACCTGCCTGAACACGTTGGAGCTGACCAATATGGCCTAAGCACCCCTGGCTTTAGCCTGTTTGTAAGTATCTTGATCAAATGCTTATAAATGTTTTCTTACTGTTTGGATGTAATAAATTGTTTATTATTTAGGCTTTTTAGGCATGTTTAGAGCAATTGTATAAATACCATTTGGACTTTGGCTTTAATAAAGGAATTTATGGTTAAATTAGTATTTGGTGGTTTACTGTATTAATATTAATTCAAATATTATTAATAATTCCAACACATGGCCAATAGTAACGGGAGCGGTACGAAGCCCAGAGGGCGATGTGAAAGAAGGCATGAAACTGTGAAGGGATGCCGGGAATAATCAAGAGTAATTTTGGTGAAGCATCCTGTTTGGGGGGAGGAGGAGACAACATAGGCAAGGCAAAGCTCTGCGGAGCCTTGGAAGTGAGAAACAAGAGCATGAATTTGATACAAAAAGAGAATGAAAGCCAGCAAAGGGAGCTAAGAAGGGGATGGGTCAGGAAAGATAGAGCAGCAGTTAATTTAATGAGACCAATGAGAAAGGGGTTACGAGATCTGAGACAAGACATGGTCAGTGGGAGAGGCAAGAGAAAGAAGACAATCAAAAATGACACAAAGTTTCTAGGACTGACAGACCAAGAAGGCTGATGATGTCATGGACAGAGAGGAGAGGAGAGGTGAGGTTTTGGGTGGGAAGAGAACAGGTTTAGACATGATGACCTGAATTCAGCCCAGGTGCACTGGGTACTAATGAGGCTTTAGCACTGGGTACTAATGAGTGAGTACCCACTTTAAATCTGATCTACTGGAGTTTGCAGTAGTATATGTCACACAGGCGTGAGAATTAAACTTGGAAGATATAATGTAGAGAGTGCAGAAAAGAGGACACTGAGGGCACAGTCCTGGAGGATAGATGGAGAGGTGGCAAAGGAACAGGCCCCAGGGAAAAAACTCTTTAAGGACAGGTCAATATGCTAAAAGGAGAATTAGCAGGGGCAGACCTGAGCAGAAGTGTGCGGAGGAGAATGAATTGATCAACAGAGTGAAAGAAAGTGCAGAAATTGAAAGAGAAAAGAAGAAGCTGATCAACATAACTAGGAAGTGGTCATTAGTGAATGTGGTACGTACAATTTCAGCAGAATGAAGGCAGTGATGTCAAGACTTAAGAGAGTCAAAGCATTAATTAGCAGGAATATGTGTACACTACTCATACATAGTGTGGCTGTATGGAGGGAAAAGGACACTAGTTGGAGTAACAGATAAAATACAGTGAATTTTTTTAGGATAGTGGAAAATGAGAGCATGTTTGAACACAGAGGGGAAGGAGCCAAGACAGAGGGACAGCAGCTAAGACAGACGAAGCAGTGGGAAAAGACTGGATCAAAGCCACTGGTTCTGAGGTAAGAAAAGGGTAGAAAAAAGACTTCAGAATCAGAGATGGGGCAAAGGAGGAGAGGGTGGGAGTGGCCCGAGAGAATACGAGAGGGGGTTGTGGATTTTGCCCTTATTGAAAGTGGCATGATCTTGAGCAGAAACAGAGGAAGGGGACAGGGTAGGAGGCTTATGTAGTTAAATTTGGTGAAAAGTTGTCAGGTGTTAGATGCACAGAACTAGAAGAGGGAAGAGAAAGAATTATTTGGAAAAGAACAAAGCAGAGTTGAGGCAGGATTCTCTAGGTTTTAGTCAGGAGGAGAGGATGGAAGAGGATAAAGTAGGGGCCAGATCACACGAGAAACATTCACATAAAAAAGAATCTGACACATCAGAAAAGGGCAGACAAATAAACAGTGACAAGTTTTTAAAGTGCTTGTACACAAATGCTAGAAGTCTAAATAATAAGATGGGTGAACTAGAGTGCCTCGTGTTAAAGGAGGATATTGATATAATAGGCATCACAGAAACCTGGTGGAGTGAGGACAAATCAATGGGACACAATCATTCCGGGGTACAAAATATATTGGAAGGACAGAACAGGTCGTGCGGGAGGCACTATATGTGAAAGAAAATGTAGAATCAAATGAAGAAAATCTTAAATGAATCCACATGTTCCACAGAATCTCTATGGATAGTAATTCCATGCTCTAAGAAGAATACAACAGTAGGGATCTATTATTGACCACCTGATCAGGACAGTGATAGTGACGATGAAATGCTAAGGGAGATTAGAGAGGCTATCAAAATAAAGAACTCAATAATAGTGGGGGATTTCAATTATCCTGATACTGACTGGGTACATGTCACCTCAGGATGAAATGCAGAGACAAAATTTCTCGATACTTTAAATGACTGCTTCTTGGAGCAGCTGGTACAGGAACCCACAAGGGGAAAGGCAATTCTTGATTTAGTTCTGAGTGGAGCGCAGGATCTGGTCATAGAGATAACTATAACAGGACCGCTTGGAAATAGTGACCATAATATAAAAACATTTAACATTCCTGTGGTGGGACGAACACCTCAGCAGCTCAATACTGTGGCATTTAATTTCAGAAAGGGGAACTATGCAAAAATGAGGAGGTTAGTTAAACAGAAATTAAAAGGGACAGTGACTAGAGTGAAATCCCTGCAAGCTGCCTGGACACTTTTCAAAGACACCATAATAGAGGCCCAACTTAAATGTATACCCCAAATTAAAAAACACAGTAAAAGAACTAAAAAAGAGCCACTGTGGCTTAACGACCATGTAAAAGAAGCAGTGAGAGATAAAAAGGCATCTTTTAAAAAGTGGAAGTCAAATCCTAGTGAGATAAATAGAAAAGAGCATAAACACTGCCAAATTAAGTGTAAAAATGTAATAAAAGACAAAAAGGAGTTTGAAGAACAGCTAGCCAAAAACTCAAAAGGTAATAAAATGTTTTTTAAGTACATCAGAAGCAGGAAGCCTGCTAAACAACCAGTGAGACCCCTGGACGATCGAGATAAAAAAGGAGCACTTAAAGACGATAAAGTCATTGCGGAGAAACTAAATGAATTCTTTGCTTCAGTCTTCACGGCTGATGATGTTAGGGAGATTCCCAAACCTGAGCCGTCCTTCAAATCTGAGGAATTGTCACAGATTGAAGTGTCATTAGAGGAGGTTTTGGAATTAATTGATAAACTTAACAGTAATAAAAGTCACCGGGACCAGATGGCATTCATCCAAGAGTTCTGAAAGAACTCAAATGTGAAATTGCAGAACTATTAACTAGGGTATTGTAACCTTTAAATCATCTTCTGTACCCAACGACTGGAAGATAGCTAATGTAACACCAATATTTAAAAAGGCTCTAGAGGTGATCTCGGCAATTACAGACCATTAAGTCTAACGTCAGTATCGGGCAAATTAGTTGAAACAACAGTAAAGAATAAAATTGTCAGACACACAGAAGAACATAAATTGTTGGGCAAAAGTCAACATGGTTTCTGTAAAGGGAAATAATGTCTTACTAATCTATTAGAGTTCTTCAAAGGGGTCAACAAACATGTGGACAAGGGGGATCCAGTGGACATAGTATACTTAGATTTCCAGAAAGCCTTTGACAAGGTCCCTCACCAAAGGCTCTTATGTAAATTAAGTTGTCATGGGATAAGAGGGAAGATCCTTTCATGGACTGAGAACTGGTTAAAAGACAGGGAACAAAGGGTAGGAATAAATGGTAAATTTTCAGAATGGAGAGGGATAACTAGTGGTGTTCCCCAAGGGTCAGTCCTAGGACCAATCCTATTCAACTTATTCATAAATGATCTGGAGAAAGGGGTAAACAGTGAGGTGGCAAAGTTTGCAGATGATACTAAACTGCTCAAGATAGTTAGGACCAAAGCAGACTGTGAAGAACTTCAAAAAGATCTCACAAAACTAAGTGATTGGGCAACAAAATGGCAAATGAAATTTAATGTGGATAAATGTAAAGTAATGCACATTGGAAAAAATAACCCCAACTATACATACAATATGATGGGGGCTAATTTAGCTACAACTAATCAGGAAAGAGATCTTGGAGTCATCGTGGATAGTTCTCTGAAGATGTCCACGCAGTGTGCAGCGGCAGTCAAAAAAGCCAACAGGATGTTAGGAATCATTAAAAAAGGGACAGAGAATAAGACGGAGACTATCTTATTCCCTTTATATAAATCCACGGTATGCCCACATCTTGAATACTGCATACAGATGTGGTGGTCTCATCTCAAAAAAGATATACTGGCATTAGAAAAGGTTCAGAGAAGGACAACTAAAATGATTAGGGGGTTGGAACGGGTCTCATACGAGGAGAGATTAAAGAGGCTAGGACTTTTCAGCTTGGAAAAAAGGAGACTAAGGGGGGATATGATAGAGGTATATAAAATCATGAGTGGTGTGGAGAAAGTGAATAAGGAAAAGTTATTTACTTGTTCCCATAATATAAGAACTAGGGGCCACCAAATGAAATGAATGGGCAGCAGGTTTAAAACAAATAAAAGGAAGTTCTTCACACAGCGCACAGTCAACCTGTGGAACTCCTTGCCTGAGAAGATTGTGAAGGCTAGGACTGTAACAGGGTTTAAAAGAGAACCAGATAAATTCATGGAGGTTAAGTCCATTAATGGCTATTAGCCAGGATGGGTAAGGAATGGTGTCCCTAGGCTCTGTTTGTCAGAGGGTGGAGATGGATGGCAGGATTACCTGTTAGGTTCACTCCCTCTGGGGCATCTAGCATTGGCCACTGTCGGCAGACAGGATCCTGGGCTGGATGGACATTTGGTCTGACCCAGTATGGCCATTCTTATGTTCTTATGAAAGAACAAAGTGGTAGTGGAGGAAATACGAATGGGAGTGGAGCTCTCTCAAGCACTGCTTTTATCTTCGAGAAAATCACAAAAAATTGTTTTTTCAAGGGGGAACATTATTATTAAGGACACTGTCCATACCAACCTTTCAACTGGGAATTTCTTGTCCCAGAACTATGGTTAGAAGTAAGTATATATATTTTATCCTCACTGAGCTAAAAAAATGTCTGCAGGGATTATGTACACATTTTGTAAACTACTACTCTGGGCAGAGAGCAAGCATGGAAAATTTCAGCCTAAAAAGCAAATGTTTATATAATCTAAGCTTATAAAAAGATGGGTCATAATGGCAACTTATCTGTAAACTTAACTACAGTGGTCATTATGGGCACCCACTATAATAATTCAACATAACTGCCAATAGGAACAAAATGTTTACTAGTTAAAACGAAATATCTGCTTTCTGGAATATTTCATAAGGTGTCTGTTACTTCGAAATGAAATTTACCGACTCTGGATCTCTTTACCTAAATGTTTCCTCCTGGAGCTGTTCTAACTGTGTCTGCAGTTGCAGGTGCCTACGCCCTGCAGGGCTGTTAGGATCTTCTATAGAATCAGATTGGTTCAAACGTTCCATCAGGATCTGGTTCTCAGCTAGTAAACTACTTTTCTCCTCTTGAAGTGCTGCAACCTGTTACAACAAAAGTGCAAAACTGGAACAATGGAATTGTCAGCTTAAAGAGCAAAACTTGTGTGCAAGTGATGGAGCTAGTATGACCCATAACTGGCGATAGATGGACGCCTAATAAACTTATATGAGAGCAATGCATCCTAGCCTTAATATTTGTGATGTACCCAAGATATTATAATGGGGGCATAACAACATTAATTTTTTAAAACATAGATTAAATTATATTTATTAGAGACATCTAAAACCAAACACAATTTAACCAGTAAACAAAAAGGCTTTAATACATTACAGTCTTCGTCTACCTTCAAAACCAAAATGCTAATATCCTGTAATAAAATCTTAGTAAAGCGCACTTTTACTCTGAAAATTGATTTTGATAAAACAGCATTTCTGAGCTCCAGATTTATTCTCTTCATGTCTTCCAGATCAAGTTTGCTCAATTTACTCAAAAAAGATGACCTAAGATGTGTTCTTCACACAATTTTTGTATTGGTGTAACTATTTTGGTAAGGGGCACAACTTCCCCCACCCCAAATAGTTATATCTAATACAACTCCTAATGCTAGAATACCAGTATAGCATATTCCCTTCCTGTATGAGAATAGCTAAACTAGTATAAAGCACCTTTATACTGCAACCACACTCAGGAGGATTGTATTCCTTTAACTAAAGTGGTATAGTTAAAGAAGTACAACTTCTGAGTATACTTTTAAAAAGACCGGTCTCCGTACTGCTTCCTTTCTTCAGCTGCCTTAGAATCACCATGCCCCTTCTTTCTCAATCTAACTCCACAATTTCCATAAATTTATTGTGCACATATAATAAACTACCTACCTGCATATCTAATTCATGGCACCTCTGAGCAATTTCTTCTTTTGTTGCTAAAGCTTCATTTAATTCTTCTGTAGTTTTCTTCAACTATTTAAAATTAATATAAACATTTTTATTTTCACAATAACATTACTATAATACATGTAATTCTTTGTAACCATAAAGGATGTTGAATGATATCACTGTAAAGTCTGTTTTTATGATCATATTTATTTATTTTGAAAAAAGTTATTGACTATTCTACTTTTATAAGAAGACAAAGGGCACCTTATCATTCAAGAGCTCAGATCATTCATATGTGAGAGATGAACATAGAATCATAGAATATCAGGGTTTGAAGGGACCTCAGGAGGTCATCTAGTACAACCCCCTGCTTAAAGCAGGACCAATCCCCAGACAGATATTTGCCCCAGATCCCTACATGGCCCCCTCAAGGATTCAACTCACAAACCTGGGTTTAGCAGGCCAATGCTCAAACCACTGAGCATTCCCTCCCCCCAATTCTTTGTTCTGAAGGCAATTCTTTTTTCCAAAACAAAGTATTAAGGCAAGCATTTTCATTTTACATGTTGCGCTCAAGAACCCCCACAACCTGAATGTTGGAAAATATACCACTTCTGTACATTTAAAAAATTGTCAACACCACTTTTCTTTACAAGAGTGAATAGTTTCAGTTTTCACTATGTTTGCAAATACACAAGGGACTGGGAGATGGATTACAAGGAATAGACAATTAAGGTAAAACCTGTCTAGCCACTGGGTACACTACTTTTGCTGCACAAAGGGGAAACAACTGCTGTGGTAGAGGAAAAGTCTAAATCTGAATGACATCATTTAATATATACGTTTGCATTTATTCAGTTATGTCTCTAAAGGATTTTATAATAATGGAAAGATTTATGGCTTCCAAGTTTCTCTAGGATTGTAAAATTAAGTACATGGAAAGAAAATCAGTCTGAGAAGCAAACACAAAGACACTATGTATTTTTGGAATAAATGTGAAGAATTCTTAGAAGCCTTACAAGGGCCTCCTACTTCTCTCGACGATCTAATCTATTGTAGAGAATGGCACCCTTTCAGGTGACAGCTGACACATAAAAATTAACTCCATCTCTTAGACAGTATGTACAGCCACACAGATAACTTATGATATAATGATTCAGTAAAAACAGTACCATTCTCCAGGTTATACATCTACCATTTTAGGGACTGTGGTTGAGGCTGTAGAAACAACATAAATGACATAATGTGCTCTCAAAATGCGCACACAATAGCTGACGTACATTTGGTCCAGCATTTTTCACAAATACTTCAGCCACTGAGGAATTTTCCCAAAATTTCTCAAAGTAGGAAATTCACAACAGTTCCCAGGACTATTGCAAGGATATCTGAGCCCGATCTAGCCCACTAAAGCCAAGTGGGATGTCTTTCTATTGACTTAAAAGAGAGTTGGCTAGAGCAAAAAAGTTTTGTCTACAGCTAATAAATGTTACTAATTCTATTTAGTTTCTTCCAGACTATCCTTTGACTTGTAAGGTCTTCACTTTTTGCTATGTCAGAAATAATGCCAGTTTTGAGCATGACAACTACAAACTATTCATAATGCTTATAATGAATTTTATTTTCCAAAGAAATATTTTTGTTCTGCACATGCATTGTGAACAATCATATTCAGAATTATATATACCAAAGTTCTTTTATTTACTTATTTGTTTAAATGTAGCACATACTACTGATGGACATAAGCCACAGATAAATATATGTAATTGAAACTTTTGATTAACTGACTTTCTTTTAAAAAAATTGTACTTTAACAAAGAAAAAATATTACATTTAAAACTTTGAATGTGTGTTCCTTTGTTTGAATTTTCCCAAAAGGTTTTCAAAAAAAGAGAAGAAGAAGAAGAAGAAGATGAGGCAGCCTGCTTACAATATGCCATATACCAGACTGACTACACACTGATTTCCTATGATTAAAGAAAAAGAAACATCTGGTCTTAGGTACCTGACGATCAAGGTCAACGTAAGCATCATTTCCAACAGAGACTGGAGATTCTTTACTCATCAACTGCAATTAGATTACACTGGATTAGAAAAAGCAAAAGATTTATTTGTATATTAAAAGCTAAGTTTTCATTTATAAAAAACCCAGATCAATTTTAAATTTAAGAAAGGTTTGTTCTGAAGATAAGGCCTTAAGTTTTCACGTCACATTTTTATGTATGGTATATACAGAGAGAATTATAAATCTGTAGGACAAACACTATAAAGGAATATGAAAAAAAAATCTTATCTGGTACATTTCCCTCTGTAAAAGCATGCCTACCTATCATCCATCATGAAAAGCTCGGGATGCTTTTTGCAGAATATTGGCAGCAATCCATATGGTAGTAAAGATTTACTCTGGAATTTTCACTCTAACACTGGTTCTAACCCTTTTTCATACTTTGACCCCATGTAACACCAAAACAAAAAAATCTGGGGTCCCTGCTCCTCCCATTTAATTATATATAAAAAAAGAGGGGCTGATTATGACTCCCGCTCCTGACTTGTTTGCAATTCCTAGGTTAAGAGCCCATGCTCCGGAATGAATATTTTCAAAACTGAAACACTGCAACTTGCATGATATATGAACTGAACTTTATTATTTGGAGAAACATAACCTGTGGATTTTTTAGGGTTGGTGGAAAGAGCAAATCAGATTTTTTTAGTTATAGCTTTCTAGGGAGGCTCCAGATTGGCTGACATGCTTCTCCAGAGGAAAAAATTAGCAGATAAGAAAATAAATCCTCTTTCTGGACACACATCCAATCTGTTACAATATCAAAATGGCTAGAGGGGAGTTCAAACATAAAAAAAATGCAAAAGGAAATTCCCAGACTGAGGAAAAAGAAAAAAGAAAAAGAAAAAAAAACTATGTTAAAACAGAAGTTAAGATTGAGATACATACTAGTAACATAAAGGTAAAAATAATTAGTTATGTTGTAATTAACCCCAAACCAAGTACTACAGGTTTGTACTGCTTGTTTTGGGGATTATTAGAATATATTCATTTTTGGTTTGTTTTTTCTATTACATGAATAATATAAATTAGAAATGAAAAAGACTAATCAATCTAACCATACATCTAATCAATCCTGATTCCAATGCAACACTGTTCCCTTCAGTGTAATTCCTCATGCTTCACCCAGCCTGGGGTTAAAAATCTCTCCACAGCCCACTTCCCCTACATTCTGTGGATGCCCACTCTGTAGGCATACAACTCATTGTCATAATTTCTTCTGCTATTTAGCACTCGGTTTTCTTTTGCTTAAATGCCAACCCATAACTTCTGGTTACATTACAATGTACAGTAACAAATTGCTCCCCATCCTCAACATTCATTCCACTCACATATCTGTACACTTTTGCACCCCACTCTCTAGCTGCCATTTAGCCAATCTATAAATATTTAGACATAGTCAATCTTATCTCCAAAGTTCCTCCAGCCCTCGACCATTTTTGTTGCTCTTCACTAAATTCTTTCCAGTTGATCTACAAATTTCTGGTGACAAGCTGCTCAGAAATGAAATATTCCATCTACAGAGCCCAAATTCTTATAAGGAGGGATTATAAAGTCCCTGTTCTGTGATTTAGTGTTTCTGAAAAGCCAAGTTAATGGCCTTTTTCATTGCCACAAACCGTAGCGTTGTGAACTTGTATCTAATTTATCGCCTTAGTTTTCTAAGATGAATATCATTTTATAGTCCCCTGCCAATAATTTCTAACCTTGCTAGGCCCCTTAGTATTATGTCTTTCTCCTCCACCTTCTGATCACCTGATTTTGTTAGTGGCTGTTTATACCCTCTTCCAGATAATTAATGACGATGTTAAGACTGAACCCAACACTGATCCCTGTGGTGCCCATTTAAGCCATCTCCCCTGCCCAGATGCCATCTATCATAACCTTTTAACAGACCAGCCATTAGCATCTCTAACCAAGCCAATTTGATTTTTATAAGACTTCACAAGAAGCTATATAAAATGCTTTACTAAGAATTACAGGATTAGAACTTTAATTTCAACCCACCATTCATGATTCAGCCTAGAGAAATCTCTAATATTTTCCTCCAATTAATCTATTCTTTGGTAAATGAGAGGTAACATATCCCTGATCTTAAAAGCACAGGTGAAACAATCTGGACTACAAGTTAATTTAATCAGTTTATATTTTAATATTTTTATAGAAAATATCTGTCATTCCTTTTATTATCCTAATTACACCTTTTTCATGCCCACAACTCTGGCAAGCAGCATTATAAAAATAAATATATATAACCATGCCAGGTGTTATTAAAACCTTTATTCAATTTTAACTGGTTTGCTCATGAGGGCTGAGTTATTAGTGTTGTCATGGATACAAGGTTGGCAACTAAGATTATCAGGAGATCTGTGTGCATGAATGCCCTAGAAACATGCACTTGATTCTTCTGGTTTATCATACACATGACTTACTCTCTCTCTATTCTATAAACATAGTTTGCAGCTTATTTTCTGTCATAACATGAAAATGTTTGATACTCTGTTGCATTATATATAAGGTGCATGATAACTTCATTTCCCTTTGTCAGACTAAGATCTCTGTTTTCTGGAGATTTTTTATTTTCAAGAGACCCAGTGGCATATCTAACATCTTCTACAACTTCTAGTATGGTATGACTTTTGACTTTTTCCACCATCACTAATTATTCCATAAAGCAGCCTCTACAAAGAATAGTTTTTACTGAAGCCAAAATGAACCTTGAAAATAATTAGGCTGAAACACAGGAAAATTGATATTTGCTATCTCTGTGAAAACAACATTTTTGGGACCCATCTAAGGAGCAAATCCTTCTTGCTATGCAACCTCAGACAGGTTTGAAACTGCCTCAAATACTCTGCAGTAAAGGGCATGACCATGTTTTGATGGTCTGGTGGACATGCTTACTGAAGGGGAAAAGGAACTTGTTATAAAGTCTCTAAGTTTAGTTATTAGGAAATGAAGGTGTTTTCCTATTTATTGGTAAAGAACTCTCAACCTTCCAAATGACTATTTATATCTGAGACTTGGGAAAAGAACAGCATAATTCGCCAGATGCATTATGAAGCAATTGCAAAGCTGTATTGTCACAGAAATAGATTTCATGGGAAATGTTAAATTTTAGTTTGCCATGAAAAATCAATCTGTGTAAAATGTGAAATTGAAAAACTCTATACTAGATTTTTCATTGCTTTGAAAACCATACACTTAGGCCCTCATCCTGCAAACTTATGAGTTCAACGGAACTACTTATGTGCACGAATATTTGCAGGGGCCTTAGAATCTCAACGCTGGAAACACATGAATTCAGCTCCATTGAAATGAACAGACTATCAAGGCACTGTTTGGTTTATATGGTGTTTGAAATGTTTCAGAATCTACCTGAAGAAAAAGATTTTCCATTTATTTTTTAGCTGGGGTTTTACTTGAAAAATTCTGATTATCAAAGAATACAGTTGTTCAAAAGCACAGGAAATTCAAATAAAATAAAGGTTCTTTTAAATTCATTTTCTTATACAAAACTTCACATGTGAAATTACCATTTTGCAATGTGAAAAATGGCATTTGTTTTTCCAGTGAAAAAAATACCACATTAGGTATAGGCTATTACAAGTGATAGATGGGCCAGTTCTGCTGGGGTGTGAAACATGTTTCCACGAGCAGTATTACTTATTATGTATAAATTAATAAAGTATCATCTATAAGCATTTGTATATATTTAACGGAAGTAGAAAAATAAACTATGCAATACAGTAGAAAGATTTATTTAACAGGTCTTTTTATGTAACTAATACTTAAGACAGTCTAAGTGCATGGAAAGTGTTTTGCAATGCTTGGATGATGTAGGTATGCAATACCTACACTTCTCACCTGTCTACATGGCTGTCATATCAGCACTTCATTTTGTGACTCCTCCACATACCTGAGTCACTCAAATCCCTCTGCAGAGGTCTGCTCCAAGCAGTCCACCAGACCATGAAAAAGTTCTGAATGTCCTGGATCCAAGAAGACCCTAAACCTTTTGCACTTTCTAGGACCCATAGAGGCTACCTGCTTTGAGGCACAATAAGAACATAATTCTTTGGCACTAACTCTTTAACTGACTTTAGAAGTCTGTTGCCCATCCAGCTCTGCATGGAAACTTTCAAGGAGCTATGTTTTTCTCCAAAGATGGAGATTGCAGCTCTGAAGATTTTCCTGGGATCTGGACTCTTGACTCTGAGAAGGATCTGATGATTTTTGAATAAGCATCTCAGAACTCTCCATTTGGTTCTGAATTTCTTAGTCTTCTAAAGTCTTTGAAAGGTAGAGTCAAGCCACTTCGATCTGGAGTATTACTTGGAAAGCAGCTCTTTTGATCAACTGAGTTTCAAAGACTCCTCCAAAGGAGAGCCCTCAGCCTGTGGTGTCACTTTTTTCTGGCACAGGTCACAAATACTGAACGAACTCCATAGCCACTGGACAAATGCTTCATTAAGCCATGGACATGGTTATTAATATGGATATCTTATTAGATTAAGAAACATCTCCTGAATATGAATTTATTTTTTGTCCACTGTAGCAGAGTGGAAAGTGCTACTAAAAACTAGGGACCAATAAAAGACAGCTATGAAAAATCCTATCAAAACAAATGGGGGAGGGGGACAGAGAAAAGAAGACACACATGCACAAAAACTGCCCCACAAAACCATGGTCTGGAAACCAGGAACTGACTCCCTGGCAGCACTGGCTTAGGGAAGGACAGGGAATGAAAGATAATCTAAGGGGATGGGTTTTTTTCACCCTCATTTCCAGAATGCTAAATCTGAGAAGCGAGTGTGCTTGCCCCCTACCGGTTTTGGTACTCTAAATGGTTCCATGGTGATCAAACAGTGCATATGACTCCTAGACTGTGGATTGCAGAGACAAGTCATGATGAAGAATTGAGCAACCTTTGGCTCTGTATCATTTATTTTCCTTTATAGGGAACTGTAGGAAAAACACATTTTATATACGGGGTAGACAAATCTGAATTTATCACACTGAAGTCAGCATAGGGTTCAATTGCTGATTTATCAAGATCTAAGTGGAATTAGATGCTTAAACATGGTGATTTTTGCTCACATGCACGCAGTTAAACTGATCATCAGTTATGGATTGGGAACAAAAGACATTGGCAAAGACCTTAGTGAACTTTTGCCTTCTTATGGAGCATGTGCCAAGAAACCATTTGCTTTCGAGGTCAGCAAAATCTCTGCTTTTCGATTTCCTGTCCTTCTCACATTAATTTGTTCTAAGTTACAAACCATCCATACAAAAGGCCACTCAGCTGCTTCAATGCAGTGAAGTTGAGCTACTAAAGTGGTTTGAAGGGAAGTAGCTCCACCTGAATCCGAAAAGTGATTTATTTTGTTGGGCCTCAGCTAAAGCCCCATAGGCAAGACCCAGAACTAAGGCACTAAAGTCCGACTGAGCTAAGTATCCCTGTATTAGGCAGGCACCTGTTTCAACAGCCAAAACTTGGAAGAAGTAATGGCAGACATTAACCGATTTCACTGTACTTGCTTCCTTTCTGCTATGCTTCCATCTAGTGTCTCAGCATGACTCACCAGTTACAGCAAGATTGTGAAATCATTCCTTGCTTTTAAAAAAAGTGCATATGGTCAACTTGCTAATCTAAACTAAACATTGCTAAGCTTACCAAGAAAGGTAGCCTTTCCCCACTTCTCATCACTTTAGGAACAAAGGCTCTAGTGAGGTCTCATGTTACTAAAATGATGTTATTTTTACAAAATATACTACAGTACATTTATTGACTACTATGAAGTATTATCAGGAATAATTAAAACTAAAAGCTAGACTACAGCTAACAAAATAGAAAGTATATTTTGCAATGCGTTTTCCTCCTTTTACTGTATTTGTTCACTTACTTGCCTGTTTACAAAATTTAGTAATTCAATGAGTCTCCCCGTTACTAGGTGCAAATGAACGACATCCTACAGTACTTATTTTGCTACTTACACAACAAAGTATAGTGTGTTTTTAGGAGCCGTAGGAAAGGAAAGGTAAAGGAAGGCGAGCCCAGTATCAATATCTAGAAGTTTAATCTTCTAGATTTAAAGAAAAGTGGAAATTTGCCTGAATTCTATTACATAAATAAGGCTTGATTAGCAAAACTCTGTTTTCTCTAATCAAAAGAGGAAAACATTCCTTATTCTAACTTTATAAATGTTATATTCCATGCCCATTCTATTAATTACTTCTTTCTACTGAAGTTAACAAAACTGAGAAGAAGTATATTCCGGTACTGAATTGAAAAGCTGAATTGTTACATATTATGGACACTTCAGCATACCTCCTGAATAGCTGTCATGACAACATGTTGAACAGACTCCTCCATCATCATGATGGTCTGGATGTACTCTGAAAACAAGAACATTCTCGCATGTCATTATTTACACTTAAACTTAAGACAGTCAAACAGAACGAAGGGATAAATAGCCACCTCTCTCCTGCAAATTGTGCAGGTGCCATTCCTGGGACTTGTGCTCAGTCAGTGTCCAGACCCCTCCCCAATAAACCCAGGAGCACAGTAACAGAAAGCCATACTTCCAAGTGATGATGCAAGGCTTAGTAAGACATTTCTGAAGGTCCACGCTTGTGTACATATGGTGGCAGGCCAAGTGAATGATGGAGACATTTTCAAAAACTCTTGTCATTTCAAGATCGAGCAGTATATATTCTAATATTAATATTTAAGAAAATCATCACAATGTGCCAAGTACTCAGTTGTAATACAAACAAGCTTGTAGGCCAATTGCAATATCAAAAACTGCAAATTATGTACAAGAACAGGGATAATACAGTTATCCCTGTTGCAAGGGCATCTTGTCTGGATACACATTTTCCTTTCTATGCTCTTGCCAAGGGGTGGAGTAGCTGTGGAAAGCTTGTAATCTAAGGGGGCAATCCATTAACTACTATTGTCCTGACTGATATTGGCAATAGGCAGCTGTAGTGAAATGACTAACAGTTGGGTCAAAGTAATCATTTTTATTTGTCTTTAAATGCACACTAAATAATTCCCACTGGAACGGTCTGTCCTCCAATTGCAGCTCCATTTTTTTTCTGAACTATTCAGACAGAAAGACAAGGGCAAGATACAAGAAAAGGTCCTGCCCTTCCAAGATTTTCAGGATTCTCATCCTACCTTTCAATAGTGACTCATTTTGTGTACCTTGTGCATCTGGTCAGAGACCCTACTCTTGTCTTTGTGTATTTTCATGAATATATGCCCTCTGTTTTTCCTCTTCCTGGATCTCATATTTGTAAATTCCAATATCAGCTGATGTTACAGTAAGAGCTGCATACCTGCTAAGGACTCATTTGTTGATGGATATGAGGTGTGAGGCCAGTATGCTGGGAAACCACTGAGTGGGTAGCAAATTCTCAAGAGTAGACAAGGCTAGAGAGTTTTAAGTCATGGGCCCAAGGTGGGAGCAAGTGTCAGAGTAGGGAACAGAATCCAGATCCTATAGCATATGGCTCCCAAACCTATATCATAACCATTCTTTTTGTGTGCAATGTGCATCTTGTCTATGAATTTGCAATTACCCAGATAAGAATCTGCAACTGAGCCTTCCCACAATAATTAATAACTAAAAGCTGGGTTCAGTAATTTTCATCTGTGGAGCCATTTTTCATTTCTATTCATGGAACCAAAAGGAAATATATACATCAGAAGCATACATAACCAGCTCCACAGTTCCAGCTTGCAAACTCAGTGAAGCTTGTAATGTGATGTCAACTATCATCAATAAGACAAAATAAAGTCATGACCCACAGGAAAATAAATCGTGCCTCTGACAACACTCCCAGACACACCATTTTCCCCACATCATTTATGCAGCAAGTCTGACTTCCATTAACTACACAGAGAGCATACTGTATATTCAAAATTGATTACCTTGCTTCTGCTCACAATTCACAGCACATCCCAAAATGAGCTGAAGCATTCTTCCAAGCTCTGCAACATCTGAGTGCTCTCCAATCAGGTTAACATCAGGAAGGGTAAAGTCATTAATCTGCTGCCCTAAAATCTGCACAAAGACACAATATATATATAAGAAGCCAGTAGAAAGAGCTCACCTTCCATCTTTGGCACCGTTTTCAAACCCAACTTAGAGTCTCAAGTGAAATAAATAGGATAACCTCAGCCCACCTACCTTTGGACAAGGTTCTACAACACAAATTCCATCCACATAATTTGATACAACCAGCATTTCAGAGAATCCAGAGAAGGCTGTCTCAACTAATATCAATAATGAACAACTACTCTCACCACTACATATCTGTTCTTCCAGGTTGGGAAAGGCCAGCAAAGAAGCCAGTAACATGAGGAAGTTCAAAAGACAGCTGACCAACAGTACCTGTCTGATGGACTTTTAAAAAATGAAGTTGTTTTCTACAATTCAAATAAAGAATTCTTCAGAAACAAAAAATATGTCATCAGACAGAATAATTTAATTGCATCTGGGAAATAAGCTGTAAATCAAAGAAGTGGAAAGCTAGAATTCCAATGATATAAAACGTGTGTCTCGCCCTGATGGGTAACAAAACACTGTAAAACTGTCATAATCCCTTGGTTGAGTAGTTTTACAGGTCTGGTCCAAAGATATTTAGCAAGTCCCAGATGTAAGACAACTAACTGTCAGTCTGTGGAAAGGGTCTGAAATAGTGGTACAAGACAAACTGAATAGCAGAAAGGGGTCATAAAAGGAAAAAAATGCTTGACATAGAAGCAGGGAGAAAGAATGGAAAGAAGCGGAAAGAGAAGAGAATCATACCTGACATACAATTATTGTAAGCCAATTTACAATCTAGAAGGATTTACACATTAATGAGCATTAGTTGGGAGAATTAAGCAGTTCTGCTAGATCAGAAAAAAAGCTTTGTAAGAGTTGAAAATATTACTATGAAAAGTGGAATGAGTCAAACTTTTAGCACATAAATTGCAGATAGAAAAAAAACAGTCAATTTAACAGATCAAAAATGCAAACAAAGAAAAAAAGACTGACTATGAAAGGAATGTGTAATTTATTTGCTGATTTTTTTAAGCCAAAAAACAGCTTTGGAGAAGATATTTACACAATAGTATCTAGAAAATGTATGTATAGAATAGTACATGACTCTCCTGCAAATCAAGTTGTTTTAAAAGGACAACAACAGAGATTTGCTGCCTTAGAAGTCTTGCCCAAAGAATGGGCATTAATATGACTAAAGCCCCTGTACTATGTGGCAAACTGGACCTAAATTCTTCAACAAGGCTCCCTCATTTTTCTGTCACTCCAATGAGCTAGAATGTGAATTCTGTAGCAAGAACAGGGATAATACAGTTATTGAAAAACAGGTAAATTGAAAAACGAATAATTTTATTAAATAAAATAGAAAATGAGTAATATAATCAATACAGTATTTCTTGAATGGTTATTTTGATATCCAATTTTTACATTGCCCCAACCTTTAAAATGTGATGCAAATTTTTATATGGCTTTGTAGAAGCTGTTAGGGAAGCTGGGTAGGAGATGTGTCATTTGGCACTATGAGGACATGGGTTTGGGATTGTGAAACAAATGTGTTAGCTGGATATTTCTGGTAAAATAGGTTATGTTAAAATTAGGCTCCAGTGTCAATACCCCACTGAGATGAAAAAGGACCGAGTCATAGCTATTTTAGGATTTAGCAGCCTCAGGAAACAACCACCATATTGGTTTGGACTCTGACAGCTGAAAAGTCTTCTTTGCACAAATACTAGAAACTTTAAGGAAAACAGCGGAAGCTTAGATTTTAGAGCAGAATTCTGTGGGAAGAGGAACAGTCTATGGCAACTTCTGTGGAAACCATAAAGTACACAGGGTCCTGGACAGGATCTTCAACTTGTTCTCCTGCGAGGCTGTAATAGTGCAGGATGCTATATTACAGCCATTAGAATCCCCTTGGATACTCCATAAACTATTGAGTTACTGTAAAATGAAACAAAAAAAGTGCCCTAATTCTCCAAGGCTTTTGTCTATGCTAGGTAAAAGCCTAATCTTTTCACATCTAGCTTGTGCAGAAGGACTTTGCCAGGATGGGCTCTCAGATGAGAAAAATGTAGGCAGGACAACTGACAAATTTAAGTGGATCTCCATCACTTTTGGAAGCAATCTGGGATGTTTCACAGATGCATCTTATCTTTGAAGAATTTCGTATTTAATGACTCAGTCACTGAAGCTTGAAGCTCAGTCATTTTCTGAAATCAAGTCACTGACTTTCTAAAATACTAAATTTACCATGTCAGAAACTTAAACTTACACATAGTTAGTGGCTTAAAAAGGAGCTGACATCATTTTGCAATGACAACATTGGTCTTCTAGGATATAAAGAACTTTTATAATGCATCAAGCTCTCACAAACCCAGAGGCTGTAAACTAACTGCTCTTCCTTTAACATGGCCACGAAAGAAATATCTGCCGAATGAAGTGTAAGAGAAGGTTTTTTTAAACCCAGATTGACAAGTGAAAGTAGCAAGCAGGGTGTGTGCAGGATGTGGAAAAAGATCCATATGGGGTTTTTACATAGCAGATAAACAATTCCCAAGAGAAAGGTATGTATGTCTTTCTGATAGATTCATTCTGAGCAGCTAACAGGACTTGACATGTTTGCTCAGAAACACCAGAGTTCTCAATTCCTACCCTCCTGAGACTTTAACGTGAGCTAACTTTAATGTGATACTCAGAACTTTTGAAAATCAGTCAATTTATTAAGTTTGGATTTGGGAGACTAACTTTAGGCACCGATTTTTGAAAATGTTGCCCCCCAAAGAGTCTTAGCAAATGTATTATCTTCCTCCTCTCCAGAATATTTATACTGTTCAGACAGAAAACAAGTGCTTGGAGTATGGAGTCTCTCTATGTGAGTATCCCATAATGTGTCTGTTTCACTGCATTCTTAATGCACCAGCTACCTCAGCACATAGCAGGGAACAAATATATCATTTTCCTTCCCATGGAGTGCAGTCTTGGAGACAAGCAGCACAAGAGCTTCTCCACAGAACACACAGGCCACAATAGTAGATCTCTAACAGTCCGAAATTAAAACTTTTAATAAACTCTTCTCTTCCCACCTCAACTGAGTATTTTCCCCACAGAAAAAATGAAAGAGACAGTCTTTACTAGGGGCAGAGGAGAAAGTCAGACAGACAAGCTTTATTTTTTATGCATTCAACTCCACTATGGAGTCACCAAGGGCATCTACTATTTTCATGTCAAGATGCTTAAGGATATTAGGGCTTTTATTTTCAAGCTGGGTTTGTTCCTTAGTGGAATATTCGATGAAACACACAATAAAGCTTTGGAGAGGTCTAGTACTCAAGGATAGTCCATGATGAGTTGATTACTTTGGGTAGGACAGGTTTAAAGACTATGGAAGAGCGGATAAGATACAGAATGGCTATTTAGAAAAAAATGAACAATTTCATTTCATGAGGTATGGGTCAGATTTTTTGAAAGAGCTCAGCGGCAATGGGTGCTGCTGGGTGCTGAGCGCTTGTGATATATCTGGACCGAATGCTAAACAAATCAATAATCTGTAGCATGCCCAACAAGCATAATGACTAGATTTAGCAAAAGGAAAGCACTGAGAAATAGTTCTTACCTCATGATTGTAATCCAATATTCCTTTTAAAATTTTCTTCAGATTGCTTATCTGTTTGATGGAAGAGAGAGAAATTAAAATATATAAAGCCACTGAATTTAAGATACAGTAGAACCTCTAATTTTACAAACTAATTGGGGACTGAAGTTTATAAAATCGAAATGTTCAAAAAATTGTACATCTCAAAATGACAGTAGGTATGGTGCATAAATTGCAGTAGGGTGCACTGCATCGTCATCATCTTGTTCTTTACAGCACTGTAAAAGATACTTCCGATCCACTGAAGAAACTGGAATGTGAAGAGATATCAACTTGTTCATTGACTTTCATTATGTGATTCCCCCCGCCCCCCTTTCTGGAAAAATGATTTATGTAACTGGTCATTTGTATGGCTGGTTTTAGTAAAATCGAAGTTCTACTGTATTTATATAAATATATAAAAACAATTGTGTGGGTATACAGCAGGCTAAGAAAATCACAAGTAATACTGTAAGCAGAATCACATACACAAATGTAAGTCTATTTGAATTTCTAGTGAAAACTATCTTGTCTGAATCAATAATTCATTATGATCATCAAAAATATTATATATGATTGTCCCATGATGTGGACCTGATCCAAAGTCCACGCCAGTCAATGGAGCACAATGAAGTGAATGACAAAAATTCCTACTGACTGGAATAGGCTTTGACTCAGCCCATGGTGAAAAATTTTAAGGGTAGCATTGTTTAAGCCAGTGTCATGAAAGTGATGGGTAAGCTGGGGCTCCAAAATGAGAGAGTGAACTATTTCCTGATCTCTGTGAATGGGAGGGAGGGGAAAGGGGAAGGCTCTAGGCTAGTCGGAGGGAAAAGGTGCGGCCCAGACAGGGAAGAAAAGGAGTAGATTTCCGCTAAAGGTAGTGCTGACCTCTGGGGTACTGTCAGTACTGAGAATTTAGACATCAGAGTTAGTGCCAAGAGTAAGGTCCTCAGTACAGAGGACAGTACCAGAGAAGCAGTGACTTCCAACAATAGTTGGTCTGCCGGATCCATTAGGGCTTTGATTGCCAGTGCCAAGGTATTGGTAGCAGATGTAGGTACAAGGGTTGTTTTGGTACTGGGCCAGGAATCAATACCATGTCACTTGCCCTGTATTATGAAAGGACTTTCTGCCAAATTCCCAGGAGGAGACTGAAGGCAAATGCTCTTTTCTTAGGCCTCTGAGCTTTTCCCTTTTTACGGGAGGTAAAAGCACCGGTGCTAGGAACCATGGCCCGTTTGGTGTTCTGGTCTACCTTGGTTCCAAGTGAAGGATACATCACAGGCTTTTGGTGCTGGAGCACCCATCGGCGATAAGCTGACTTGGACAGTCATGGACGGCCAATCAATACAGTGTCAGCTGTCTTACTGGAATTTGCCTTAGGAGTCGCATCACAGCTCACAAGGGCTCTAACTAACTGGACTTGGAGGTACAAGGTCTCGTCTTGCAGCCTGATGCCTATTCTTCTGGGTCCAAAGTGCCCCGCACAGACTGCTCCAACAGAAATAGTTTTAGCCCAGTGTCTCCAGATTTTCTCATTTTTGATGAGAAAGACTGGCAGACAGTGCAATGGTCAGTCATACGGCTTTCACCTAAGCAGGACAGACCATGGTTACCTCCATCTGTGAGGAGAATGTGTCATTTGTGAGATGGACAGGGTTTGAAGTCACCAAGATAGTGGTTGTGGTGAAGAGTACTGAATAATAAATAATTTTTGGGGGTGTCAAGGAAGAAGGTTTGCAAGAAAATTAAAAGAATTTCCTGAAGAGAATTAACCCTAGTGTCCTACCTAGAGTATTTCCTCTCTTTACTTGTTATTAGCTAAAGGGTAGCAGGCATATACAGCCTGGTTCTGTCTTGCTGCCACAGGCAGTAAGAGAGAACTGAAGGATGGTTCTGGCCACTCTGCTGACCTTTATGCCCTATGGGGGAGTGGGGATGAGGATCGGTGGGGATGCAGGCATGGCCCAATGGACACTGCTGTGCAAAGATTCTGATCTCACATCCTTAAGGGGCATGCACATATAGAGTGGGCTCCACACTGACACATACTCGAAGAACAAGAAATTTTATGTCCTACGAAGTGGAGTAAAGAGAGAAAGCCTGGCTGTGGATTTAACACATACTGGAGCTCTAAGGTACATGTTTTGGTTACATCTCTAACTATACCAAACTTAAACTGTGTCCCTTCCTTTTTATATTTGTGGTAGCAGGTGATCTCAACCCTGGAAGGCCCTTCAGCCCTGCCACAAAAAGACCTAACATCACTCCCAACTTGATTTTACTAACTATGAGGGGCCTGGCTCTCACTCAAAGATAGAAGCTGCCTTAGTACCTCAGAAAGTTAGACTGGCCAAAACTGCACGCAAAGAACATTTTGCATCTGCCCCCTAAAAGGAGTTAATCTTGTCTCAATTCTATTTGTCCATGATGTAGATAGAAAACTATTCATGAGAAACTGAGTGTAGGCAGCTAGGATTCACCAACCTATGCACCAGTCAATAACCACTCACAGATGTCATGGCTTTGTAGACACTATGGGGAGGGAAGGAGGAGTAACTCTTCACGTCCTTTAGAGTGATGGGAGAAGATTATAAACACACTATGTGTAACCCAGTGAAGAGCACTCTAAGCAGTGCCACAAGCAGTCTGTATTCCAACAAGACCTCAGAAGATAATGCAGAGAAAATTTTGGAACCACTGTACTGATATTAAAGGCTACACTACAATGACCTACTTGACCAACAACAGAGTTAGCCAACACAGAGAGCTCTGAAAGCCATTTAGCTCAATCACTCTCCATTGGCTAAACAATGAAACAGACCCTCCATCCCAAAAAGCACAAATGTGAGCTAAAAACACCTGGGATAGGCTTATGGGTGTCATGATGACCATGAAATCTCAAATCAGACTAGAAAAGATGCCATCTACTTGGATGTTTGAAACCATGATCAGCCTAAGATGAGAAACTGGAGATACTGCAGAGCAAACTGCACACTGCAGCTATTCCAAGCTCTCTAATGATGTGAGACTGAACAAAGAATTGTCATTAATTCCGCAATCCTAAACCACCTCCCACACCTTCTCTGGTGTCAAAAGTTCTAACAGTCTCCTATCCAACTGCCAAGGCATCCAGCCCCCACCACCTCTGGAAAAAAAAGTTCACAGCAGTTATGCATTATCATTACAAAAATCTGCAGCAAATTTAAAATTTATGGGAAAGGTAAATTACTTGATTTTAATATCAAATCAAACACTATAAGCAATGCTGTACTGATTGTATTATTCATTTTCATATCTGATTAATTAAAAACCTCCAATTTTGAATTTACCTGAGGCTGCCGCAGAATTTCCAGCCTGCTGCACCAAAGTGCCATAGAAACCAAGGACCATGCTGCAGAATTAAG